GTATTAATAAAAAAAATACAAAAACAAATAAACAACAAAAATTGTGTAAACAAATGAATGTAGAAAAATTTTTGGTCCAAAAGTATGTAGTGGGTGAATGTGCATGCATGCATGCATACAAATACGGATGTGTGTGTTTTTTGTGTGTGTGTGTAAAAATATTTTCATTTTTGAAAGGGAACAACATTCTCCATGAGAATTGAATTGTTGATTGAATGAGATTTTATTTAAATATACATTATATATATATATATATATATATATATATATTTATTTATTTCAAGACATTTTTATGTTTATTAGAATGGTTCTTTTTATAGATACAAATTTTTAAGTAAATCTCCTTGTTTTGTATATCCAAGGACTTTATATAATTTTATATATCATCAAGGATGATTACCACAATTATTTAATAAATGGTAGATAAAAATTTTTTATGTATGTATCTAGAAGTTCAAGGAATTTTTTCAATTAGAAAATATATATTTATATATATATATATATATATATTTTTATTTCTATTATATTTATTGTTCTCTCCTTTCTCTCTCTAGATATATATATATATATATATATATATATATATATATCAATTATTTAATTTAAAAATATGGTCCCATTGAACACAGGAATTACCATGTTTCAAAAACAGAAACTAAAACTTTAAATTATAGAATTAAATTCAGTAAATTTATAAATAAGTTATTCCAATAATCACTTGAAAATGAAATAGTACTAGTGATTTTAATTCTATAATTGAATTTAAAGTTTTATTTTCTGTTTTAACAAAAATGTTCATGTTTTTTTGATGGGCCATATTTTTAAATTAATAAATTTATAATATTTAAACAGAATTTTATTGAGCACTGTTTTTAAAAAAAAAAAATAATTTTTAAGAATTCCAGATTATAAATTTTACTGTTCTTTCTCATTATTTTAATATAGATTATTTTTTAAAATGTCCATTAATTAAAGTTTTGGTTTCAACCCATTTGGTATCATCAGGCAATGCTTATCAATTGATTTTCAAAGAATAAATCCAACTGAAATCATTATCATTTTCAGTATTATATATATATATATATATATATATATATATGCAGGACATTTGGGTTCTGAAAAATTTTGGATGGCAACTTTTTAGAAAAGGACAACTCTGAATTCAAAACCTGCAGAGGGTCGTTTGGGAACCTTTTGGCATATTCGGTGCAATTTCTCTGTATTCGAAAAAAAAAGTGTGGATGGTTGCACGAAGCCTTCATTTATAATCAAATTATATGTGCTTTGGTAAAATATGTCATTTTATGAAAAAATCACAAACCCTCATATTTGAATAAAAAAGAGAAAAAATTATTTCCTTATACATATATATATATATATATATATATATATATCAGAAAAAAAAACATTTGATTAAAATGAAATATTTAATTTTTTTAATTTTAATTTTACAAAATTTAAAAAATTTTTTTTCTTCCATTTTTAAAATATGGTTATTTGTAAAACAAAAAAAATTTTATTTTTTAAATCAGTTAATTTTATATTTATATTTATGTAAATTTACATTGAGCATTTTAAAAATTTTAAATAAAAAATTAAAAATATCAATAAGAACACCAGATTATATATTACTATTTTTTCTTTTTATTAAATATATATATAAAATTTTTAAAAATAAAATATAAATATTCTTGATATGTAGAAAAAATAATTTTACTAACTTTAGGTAACTATAATACATTTATAGTCTATAAAAAACTAATAATCTAAAAATATTTAAAAATAGTTTTTTAAAATTGTAAAGTTAATTAAAATTGAATTTAACCTAAACTTCTTTTAAATTGTAATTAAATAAATAAATAAAGTTTACTAAATCAGAGAAATGAATTAGCTATTTTTGCCGTAAACAAAAAATTTTACTTAAAAAATATTTAAATATAAAATTTTTTAAAAATATAATATAAATATAAATTGAAAAATAAAAAAAATAATTAACATTTTATAACATTTAACTATTAATACATTTATAGTCTATAAAACTAATAATGAAAATATTTTAAAGTTTTAAATAAAAATTTTAATTAATTAAAATGAATTCTAACCTAAACTTCTTTTTAAAAATCGTAATTAAATAAATAAATAAAGTTTACTAAATCAGAGAAATGAATTAGCTATTATTTTTGCTGTAAAAAAAAAAATTTTACTTAAAAAATATTTGAATATAAAATTTTTTAAAAATAAATAATATAAATATACTTGATATAGAAAAAATAATTTTACATGACTGTAATAACTCTATTTACTTCTATTAAATGAAAAAGTCTATAAAAAACTAATAATGAAAATATTTTAAAGTTGTAATTAAAATTGTACTACATTAAAATGAATTCGTTTATTAAACTTCTTTTAAACTGTAATTAAATAAATAAATAAAGTTTACTAAATCAGGGAAATGAAAATTTTACTATAGTAATATTTAAATATAAAATTTTAAAAATCGTAATATACTTGATGACAATCTACAAACTATAAGATTCTAACTACATTTAAATTGTTCTTGAAAAATTATAGTATATAATAAAATTAAAAGTAAAAATATTTAAAATCGTATTAAATAAAGAGTATTCTTACCTTTTCCCCCCTATAGAAATTTTTTTTATATATTAAAAAAAAAATGCCATAAAGAATTTTAGCCATTAACAATATAAATTAAATAGAAAAAAATCCAGACGACACGCTTTTAACGGATGTTAGATTTCATTGAAAAAATACATCCCTTCCCACCATGAAAAAAAGTAGCAATAACTGATACATTAAAATTTAGACATATTGAACTTTAGACAATTTTGTCTTGAAAAAGTAGATTTATCTGTAACCTTGGAAACATGAATTTTGTTTTCAAAAAATATAAAAAACCCAGTCATTTTAAAAGTTACTCCAAAATTTGCTTGAGGATGAAATGGATATAATGCCTTTAATTTAATTACAAAATTAAAGAAGAGGGTTTTTTAGCTTACATTTTTTGAAACATGGTTAGAGATTTTTGAAAATGCAGCTTATAAAAAAAAACATATATTTTAAATCAATTAATTTATACAATTTTAGTTAAAATGACTTAAAAGGTACTGCAGTTAAATTTTTTATCTAATTTTACTTGTGTTTTTATGATTTTTCTTTTTTTGGATATAAAATATGTAGAGATTGACCAAAAACACTTGGACACACACAACAAAAGGCAAATTTCTATATTAATTTATGTCTTCAAAAATAAAAAACTTTAAGATATACAATTAATGTTTTTTAAAAATAAAAAAATATCCTGTAGTCATTTTTAAAATAACTTACACACACACACACAATATATATATATATATTATATATATATATATATATATATATATATAAATAATGTATTTTAGTAAATAAAGACTTAAAAAAATAAAAAATACATAAAGTGACATATCATTCTGTCAGTTTTTGCCAGGCAAAATCCTTCTCGGAAATGATCCAACAGAATTAATCTGGAATAAATTTTTTTTATATCTTCAATAGCTGATATAACATATCTTAGGCCTATAAAAATTTGCACAAATTGAAGATTTTTTAAACAATATGTTAAAGGCTCAATAACTTTTACAGATCTGATGTTTTATTCAGCACAAGTTGCACATCGTAGAATTGATACAGCAACATGAGACGATTAAGAAAATCTGTTCAAGTTTAGAGCTAGGCAAAAAAAATAAAAAAAAAATTTATTTTATCTTTAATTATATTTTGTATGTGTGTTATTATGTATATATATAATATGTATATATATATATATAAAGGTAAAAAAAATGGACAGATAAAACATAAGAAATAGTATGCATGAATATGTTTGTACAAAAAACAAGCATCTATAATATGCATGTGTATATATTTGTATGTTTGTATGCAGGCATGCACGGCTATATATCAATGTGCATATATGTGTGTACATGTAGGAGAAAAAAATGGTTGTTTTCTATGTATATATCTGGTTGTAAGTGTATTTAGGTGTGCAAATGAGATAATGTGTGTGTGTGTGTGTGTGTGTACATATATACATAAATATATATAAAACCCTTTATTCTACATTCAATACCATCACTTGATAAGACACCAGAAGTGTTGAAACAAAATGGCTATTTTGTAGTGATTTTATAACATATTTATGTTATTTTTTAAATAATAAATATATATATATATATATACATATATATATAAAGGATATTGTTGGGAAAAATACAAAAAAAATTTCTACATGATTATATTGAGCCCTCATTTAAATATTACGTACAGTGTAATTATACTCCATGTGTTTCCAAATTTTTTGGGAATATTATTATATATATATATATATATATATATATATATATATATATGTTTCCAAGTGACTCTTGGTCATCAGTGTTTGTTGAAAAAATCATTGACAATTTAAAAAAATATACCATAGTTTAAGTTAGATGTTAAAATGATTCCTTTATTTTAACTAAAACATATAATTTTTAAAACTCTGTGCATGAAATTGACAATGGTATTTCCTGGGCAAGAAAGCCTGACAAAGCCCAGCTCTATCCAGGTTGAAGATTTACAAGATGATGATAATAATGATGGTGAATTGAAATAGAGACAAGCAGGTTCTTTGAATATTTCTGTAATTTGGCTTCATATGGCACAAAGGTGTTCACCAGTTTTTATACTTGTAAGTGTCCACCTGCTTGTCTATCCAACCTTCAAAATAAGCATTCAAAATTCTGGCCTTTTGACTAGGCTTGAACACCAAATATCAATGCAATGATGAAGGCAGGCTACAACAGTTACTTATTAAACTTATCTTTGCGCAGTGGAACAGCCAATAAGAATGGATGTTAATTAATATGCTAATCATTGTGCTATGGTGGTTGCCTTTTCAATGTTTCCCTGCTTCATTTTTTTCTGATTTTTATTTATTTCATGTTGTTTCTTGTTTTACTTTTTAGCCAACAATTTTTACCCAGATGTAGTTGATCAATTTGGCCGCACCCCGCTCATGTATTGTGTACTTGCTGATCGGCCATACTGTGCGAAAATTCTAATCAAGGCTGGGGCTAATGTCAATCTAAAGGACAAAGGTGGACGCACAGCTCTCCACGGTGCTGCACAAAAGGTAAGTGCAATTTACCTTTGTAATTAATAAATTGTGATTCTTATCTATCATCGTTGCTTTGTGATGCCTCTCTCACAGATGGACACACACAAACACACGTGTGTTTCTGCATGTGTGTGAGTAATGATGTTGAACCAATCATTGAATTCACACATATGGGGATGAACTAAACAAAATTGTACCTTTTCTCAACATCTTATTAATATAAAACAAAAACAAATTAGATTTTAAAGTTTAACGCAAAATCACAAACAAAAACGATTTAATCAATTTTAAATTCCCACAATAGCCAAAAAATAAAATCAGGACTTATCATAGAACTCTCATATTAGTAGTTCTCAAATGGTGCAGCACGCCTTATAGGTGTGGCCAAAGAGGATAGCAGGTGAGGCAGAATAATTGAAAGACATAGATAATTTCAAAAAATTCATATGCTAAAAATAAATATGATTTCAAAATTTAAAATATTATTATGGATGATGTGTAATTGCATTGTGATATTTTTGCATTATATCAAGTATTAAGAATATAGTAACTAGGGTTTGCAAATTGGAGGAGAGAGTTATCAATGATAATGTTCTGACTTCGATTCCACGGTTATCTTCCTTTAACCCTCTCTCTGTTTTTTTATTTTTAAATATACTTTTTATCGCATTAAATTTGGTGAGGCATGAGCAAATTTTCTTTCTGAAAATCCAGCTCAGAGAAAAAATGTTTGGTAACCACTGTCTTAGATTATACAGTCTAGAATACTGCAATTTAGACATCTTCTCAACCACATCATTTCATCCTCATTGCTCGGAAATAAGCATACAAAGTACACAAGTCCAAAAAGTAGTCACCACTGACAACAGAAACATAAAATTCATAATCCTACCCTCCAACACTCTATTAACAAAATTTGAGAACCAACGAGTTATCCCTAACACTAAGATCATTACCACTATCTCTAAGATGTTAGCAAGAAACATAGATCCAACACCACATCAAATGCTGGGATTTATAATATAAAATGCCTGCAATTCTAGAAGAGCTACATGGCTGAAACATCCAGAAATCTAAAAGCCCACATCTACAAACATAAGAGAGACCTACATTGGGACAACACTTTGAACTCGCTTGTGACAGACAGAAATAAAACAGGCAATAACTCTGATTTAATAAATGCCACTCAATAAGAAAAGAACATAATTTATTACATAGAAAATATTTGGAAGGAATACTGATAAATATTTTCCCATCAATAAATATATGCCAAGCACACTTTATTATATCACCAACTTCTATAAAATCCATACTTAAAGAATTTAAGATCAGTCTACCTCCAACCACATTCTTCCACTCCCAGACTAAACAACTAGAATTGTGATACATCAACACACAAGAATTATGCACACAGACCTTACCTGACATGACAAATAAACTTGACATCTACTTAACAAATGAAAATAAAAAATAACAGAATTTTCTTTTCTTCTCCATATTTAAAAGCTTAAATAAAAGTGAAACATGTTAACTTTATAAACATTTTCCTATTTGTTCCTTATCCTCTCATTCTATCAGATTCTAATCCATATTTGATCATCTATATAGTAATCACATAAAACACACAATGTATATAATATTTATATGTATATATCATATATATTCCAAAGATTCTCATAGCCAGGGCTGATAGTGGGGACAATATACCAGTCTATAAAATGCTTCTTTGGCAAGTGTGTAAAATAGCATCTGACAACATTAATCCAGCTCCAAGCAGGAGAATGGGCAAAGGCAGACAACTGGTGTCTACCTAGGTTAGATGGAGTTCGATAGTCCAGGAAGGCAATTTTTCTAGTGGAAGATAAACCCTGATTTTAAACCTCCACTGCCTTGTGACCATATCCAAACATGGAAATATCATGGGATAAATCTGGACAGAAAACCTGGATTGGAGGTCTGAAACTAGACGGATGTCAACACAGACAACTTTCAAGCGCCTCCTGCAACCAAGACGGCCACAAATGTAATGTCCTGTATTACTTTGGCTCTTGTTGTCACGGTCAAGAGTGTGAGGTGTGCTTGTAGTTTGGACAGTACATGTCCTCTATATACCCTTATCCTGGCCTTCACCTTGGAGAGGTCATCAAGTCTCACCTCAATGACTGAATTTTGACGAAACATGTCATTACTTTTATCTTGCAAAACAAACAGATGGCCGACTCTGTCATGATCACATCTAATGGTTTGCCAAAACTGTTTCAGATTGTTGGCCTACTTGACTCAATCTTCAAAGATATTCCTATTAATCTCAAGCATTCGACAGCCATATTATACTGAAACACCAGTTCTCATACGATCACCAAAGTTAAGCAACATCAAGCTTGGTCATTACTTAGATGGGTGACCACTTTGCCATGCCTGTTGCTGTAAGCTTGGATGTGCAGTGGTCTAAACAACTTAGGCCCTATCACATTGAAACACCGGTTCTCATATGATCACTAAAGTTAAGCAACATCGAGCTTGGTCAGTACCTAGATGGGTGACCACTTTGGAATACCTGTTGCTGTAAGCTTGGATGTGCAATGGTTTAAACAACTTGGGCCATATCAAATTGAAACATCGGTCCTCATACAATCACTAAAGTTAAGCAACATTGAGCTTGGTCAGTACCTAGATGGGTGACCACTTTGGCATGCCTATTGCTGCAAGCTTGGATGTGCAGTGATCTAAGCAACTTAGGCCATATCACACTGAAACACCGGTTCTCATACGATCACCAAAGTTAAGCAATATTGAGCCTGGTTAGTATCTAGATGGTTGACTGCTTGGGAATTCCAGGTACTGTGAGTTGGATGTATGGGTAGTATAATGGATAATGATTTAGAATTGATAATTGGAGAACTGAGTTGTAATTACAATCCGGTTCATCATATTCACTTACATGCAAATACCTGTGGGGGAGGTATGAAGCTGCCTCTTCTCCCCCCAGATATGAGTTAAATAGTAGTAGGACTTGTATCAAAAAATCATTCTGAATGTACATTCTATGAAATAACTGAACTTGAAGCCAAACCTAAGAGGTGGGTTTCTGCAGTTTTTAATTTTTGTTTCTAGTGGTCATTTGATTTTTTTTTCTTTTTCTTGATTTCTTCACAGAAATAACTACCCCATGTAATCTTCCTTTTGAATTTTTTCTTTTTCTAATTGATGTACTCTGTAGTATTTTAGTGTTTAAATTTAAGTTTAAATTTCACATTTGAATTGTATGTTTCCATTACAATTAATATTTAACAGCCATCATGTTTTTGTTTTTGTTTTTCTTTCTTTCTTTTTTTTTTTTTTTTTTTTTTTTAACTTCTGCTGCTATTGAGTTTACCAACTGGCCATTCCTTTATGATTCTAGAGAAACCCCTACTACCTATTACCTCCTCTCTCTCTAAATTTACTAGAATGTCAGTTAAACATTGCATGGTCAAAAATTTCTGTGGGCCATCAATCAACTCTCCAAAAAAGTTGTCTGAATGTACATTCTTTGACCATCCTGGGTAAGACGATAAACAATGTCCAAAAGCAAGGCCTCTGATCAGGAGGTTTTGAGGAGCATGAAACCACCTCTTAATTGCTGGTGTTCCCAGGTCCACCCTGACCTGGGGTGGTAGCACCTGTTAGGGTCCCAACTATGGGTAAGTAGTCAGCCCCTAAACTGGGATCAAATCACTATGTAAGTGTAAAAATAGGTTTTAATACCAGAAATACTTTGTAAAAAATATTTATTACCAGCAATACTTTTCTGAAGAAAAATATTACCAGAAATAAAAATTTTCTTGGCATTAAATAACCCATTGAGGTTGATATGCCATAAAACAAACCAAACATTCTTTGAAATAACTGGAAGTCAAACTCAGGATTGTTTTTTGAAAGTTCATTCAGAGATAGGTCTCTGCCAGTTTTAATTCTTTCTTGAATTTCTAATGGACATCTTGACTAGTTAAAACTTAGTAACATTTTTTTTTAATAGGAGTAGATAATCTTTCCTGTTGCTCAGTTAATACTCTTCATCCATCTCTTTAACAGGAGTAGAGGTTCATCCCTTGTTTCACTTTTAGGAAGGAGTTCCCAGTTCCTTTCTTTTTCTCAGGCCTTAATAGTAGAGCTGTCATGAATATTTTGTGATATGTGTGGATGGTGACAACATTTCTTCATACTGAGGGTACTAAGTTGACAGTTCTCTGGTTGCTGCTTCTCAACTGGTAGTTAGGAGACTGAACATTTGTGTGGCATCTAGAGAGGCTTATGTGATTAACAGTCGCATAATATTGGGGTTATTGCAGTACCATATTGTGCATGGAAGGGTGTTCCTCCGGTGGGCAACCCCAAGGCCAAACTATATTGCAGTCTGTACCAGTTCCCTTCTCGAACATTAGATGACTGACTGCTGCTACTACCGTAGACCTTTTCCTTGCCAAAATAACACACAATGACTATAAGCAACCAAAAGTATAAAATTAAACCAGATCAGCAAAAAACACCTAAACTCCTCAACCATTCTATCTCCAACATTCGTAGTATTCGTACCAACTTCTGTAGAGCAGAATCGTTCCTCTTCAAAAAGTATCCGGGCAAACAAGCTCTCTGCAAAACTAATCCTAACTCTTCAATCTCTTCCTCTGATTTCTCAATTCCTGGCCATCTTCCTCTCTTTAGGAAGAACTCTTACAGGTAGGGAGGAGTAGATGCAATAATATTGATAAGTCTAGAGTGTCACGTTTAAACCTCAGTGTCAGTAGTTACTCATTTTCTTCCTATATGACAGTAAATTAGGCAACAAGAGCTAAAACTTTTAAGGAAACTTGATGCAGTATTGGGTTAATTACGTTGTTGTTATTATTATTAAATATGTGTTAAAACCCTTCCTCTGCTGCAAAGTGAGCTCATAAATTAGTTTTGTAAAGGCACACAATCTTCAATTTTTAGATGATTTTTTGAAATCCTTAGGGCGGTCCTATAGTGACCTATAGTGTACATCATTAGAACATATTTGTGTGTTTACCAAACATGTGAACAATGATTTCATATTTTCAGTACAGCATAACATTTTTAAGCAAATTCTTTTCACCAATTAATGGTACAAAAATGAATGTTAGTATTCAAATTTGTTTTTGAGTTTTGTAAAACTAAACCAGCTCAACAAAAAACACCTAAACCCCACAAACTATCTTTTGCCAACATTCATGGTATCCTCTTCAAAAAGTCTCCGGGCAACCGAGCTCTCTGCAAAACTAATTTTGACTCTTCAATCTCTTCTGATCTGTCGATTCCTGGCCATCTTCTTCTCTTTAGGAAAGACTCTAACAGGTAGGGAGGAGTAGGTGTGATAAGCAACAATAGACTACAGAAGAACTCAAAATTAATCTCTGCATTTAAGTATTGCATTAATATTTAAGCTTACCTTTTAAAAGTTCAACGATAATTCTTCTGCCAACAATTAATTTAAAAACAATTTGATGTACGTAGAAACTTACTTTCCATACGAACTATTATTTTTATTTCATGGGTGACTTTCACTGGATTTCTCAGATAATTTTGATTATTCCCAAATTTATTTCCAAATTATGAAAATTTTTATCGGACAAAAAATATTGTCACTAAGAAACCACGTTTAAAAAAAAAAAAAAAAAAAAAAAAAAAAAACCTAGTAATGAAAACTTGGGGATCCAAAATTTCAAGATTGCGGATCTGGATCTAGCCTAGAATGTTTTTAATTTGCTAATATAGTTGGCCTGATTCCAAAATGTTATATGTTGGGCTACAGCTTGTAGGAGTAAGTTGAAAAAGTATGATACACTGACATTCACATTTATTTTTTATATATATATATATGTATGTATATATAATTTTTTTTTATATATTCTTTTGATTGAAATGGTTTAATTGAGTGAAAAGGAAAAGTTCAATCTATATAATTGTATCAATAATATTTTTTATTCTTACAATTATGGAGAAACTCTTGTAATTTCAAACCATAAACCTTTTCTTATATGAAAATCAATGAAATCCTATAATCTATAGTGGCTTATTTAAATAACATTATCTCCTTGTCTATTAGATTAGGGAAGATAGATTCAATAGCTATTTGATTTCTGTGCCCAGCAATGGAAGAAAATTAGGAATCAAATGAAGAATTTGTTGTCTTTGAGATTATTTAGAGAATTTTCTGGTGTTGATTGATTGATTGTCACTTTTTATTTAATGTCTCATTAAATTATCTTCATAAAACGTATTCTCAAAAGACTTATGTGAGAATCGACTGAAAATAAACTTATTTAGCACTACATGACCATTATAGAAGAGTCAGTGTACCATAAAACTACATTTGATTCATTTGTGCGGAATCATGTTATTTTGATCAATAGAGATTGTAAAATTGCTACTCCCTCCCCTTACTACACCTCTTCACCACCCCTGCCAGCAAGATTCATATTGTTGCCTTGGCATTAATAGGGAGGCACTGGAAAAGCCTATTTGAATAAAATAAATCTTGACTTTATATTGATTCATGGTCCACACTCATTTCATCATTACATCTTGGCTTTTTTTTTTTTTTTTTTTTTTTTGAGTTAATTATATTCCATTACAATGCATCTGTTTTGCTTGTAGAACGATTGTGGAGACTTGACCTTTGAATTCTATAAAGTGATCTTTTTAATTCATTCTCTTTCATACACTTTCTCCCTCTCACACACTCTCTCTTTTTCTTCTTTTGCTGTTTTGCTTCTCTATCACTTTCTCATCTTCATTTACCTTTTTTTTTTATCTTGCTGTTTCACTAACGGCCGTCTGTTCATGTTCTCTTTCCTTCATCACTTTCTTTCGTTGCTTTGCTCACTTTTCTCTTTCTTTTCCTCACTCAGTTTCTCTTTCTCTTGTTTTTGCTCACTTTTCTCTTTCTTTTTTTTCCTCATTCACTTGTTTCTTTCTTTTTCTTTCTCACTTTTCTCTTTCTTTCTTAATTTTCTCTTTCTTTCTTTTCCTTGCTCACTTTTCTCTTTCTTTCTCTTGCTCACTTTTCTCTTTCTTTCTCTTGCTCACTTTTCTCTTTAAAAAAAAAAACTTTTGAAAACTTTTCTCTTTCTTTTTTCTCAATTTTCTCTTTCTTTCTTTCTCTTGCTCCTTGTCAAATTTTCTTTCTTTTTTTCTTGCTCACTTGTCTCTTTTTATTGCTCACTTTTCTCTTTCTTTCTTTTCCTTGCTCCTTTTTCTTTCTTTCTTTTCTTTTTCTTTTCTCTCTTTTCTTTCCTTGCTTTTCTCTTTCTTTCTTTCTTTTTTTTTGCTCTTTTCTTGTTTCTTTCTTTTCCTTGCTCACTTTTCTCTTTCTTTCTTTTCCTTGCTCACTTTTCTCTTTCTTTCTTTTCCTTGCTCACTTTTCTCTTTCTTTCTTTTCCTTGCTCACTTTTCTCTTTCTTTCTTTTCCTTGCTCACTTGTCTCTTTCTTTCTTTCCTTGCTCCTTGTCTATTTATTTCTTTTCCTTGCTTCTTTTCTTTCTTTCTTTTCCTTGCTCAACTTTTCTCTTTCTTTCTTTTTCCTTGCTCAACAGCCATCTTTTTTTTTTTTCTTTTCTTTTTTAAAAAAAATCCTTTCTTTCTTTCTTTCTTTTTCCTTTGCTCACTTGTCTCTTTCTTAATTTTCCTTGCTCACTTGTATTTCTTTCTTTTCCTTGCTCTTTTCTCTTTTTTAAAAAAAAAAATTTGTCTATTATTTTCCTTGCTCACTTTTCTCTTTCTATTCCTCAATCATGTTTTCTTTTTTTTTCTCCCCCTCACTATTTCTTGTCTTGCTTTCATTACC